CTATGTTAGAGAGAAAGCCTGGAAACAAAGATTCCTCATGGTTTTTGCCTTCAGTTGCTAGATTGAATATCTATCCTAAACACTGACAATGATAGATTGTGATCTGGCAGAATGAGCCAAATAAGCACATTTGTCACCTAAGGTACTTTCGTGTAGAGAATTGAATCAGAGCAAGAAAAAAAGCAAGTTGTAACAGAATGTGGTAAACCCAAAGTGATTCTGTTGTTCATAGGTGTTCAATGGTGACTTTTGTGGGAATGTTGAACATATCAAAATTTAGATGGCAAAAGTCATAGAAAGCTGCATTATGAGCTCAATTGGTCATTCTTGTAATACTTGGAATAAAAAACTATTAAAAGTATTGCAAACAATGGAGGTAGAGGTCAAAGGATTTCAGTGGGAATTAAAATGGAGGTCATGTATGTGATATTTTGGACCCTAACATTTCTTATTTTCCCATGCCCTCAAGAAATTGATTGAGTAACGAAGAATTAAAAAAAATAATGGGGCCTGGAGAGATGACTCATAGGTTAAGATCATTGTCTGCTCTTCCAGAGGTCCTGAGTTCAATTCCCAGCAACCACATGGTTGCTCACAACCATCTATAATGAGATCTGATGCCCCGTTCTGGCATATGGTAGACTTGCAGAAAGAACACTGTTTACATAATAAAAAAAAATAAATCTTTAAAAAAATAATGGGGCTGATTTCTTAGATGGAGTATTGACTTTTTTGGATAGCTATTACTTATGGTTCATTCAGTACAACATTACAAAAATCAAGAAGTGGACATAAATAAATGAAAAGTCTATTGGTTGTAGAGAAAAAGAGCACTATGAATTTGCAGAAGGTAGTCAAATGCTGACCAGAGTCAGGAATGTTCAGGGAGATTATCACCATTAAAAAGAAGGCCCTTATTATACATTAGAAACCTAGCAAAGTGCCCCAAGGGTAAGAATCCATCCTTATATGCCCTCAGTTAATGGAGGGATTAGGCAAAGTGATTGCCATTCCCAGGAAGCAACTTTATTCAAGTCCTGCTGCAACTCTGATCCAAGCATGGCAGAGGCCATCATAACTTAGTAACAAAATTTGGGGGAATGATTTATGTTGAACTTGTTCTGGAGACCAGAATGATGTAAAATTTAAGATTATACATTTTTAGTCTGCATTTTCAGTTCAGCTCTGTTGTAGGCATCTGTGTTTGCTATGGTAAGAGCTCCAGTGAGAAGACTGTCTGAGTTCATTGCATGATACTATGAGGATGAAGCCTGAGTTGTATTTTGAGATCATAAGATGTTGAGATAATTAAGCTATGAAATATCTTACATAGAGAGCTAGCTACATATAGGGAGTGGAGGTACCCATAGAGAGAGATGTATGGGAAGTTGTGGAGAGAGAGCCATCTAAGCCCTTTGAAAATGAAGCCTCATGTCTGACACAGAGCTAGCTACCATATTCAACGGTTGCCCTGCTGGGTTTCAGTCTTCTCTTGGTTCAATCTTTCCTCACTGTGTCTTAGTTCCTTTCCTTTGGGATGATAATGGGTTTTCTGTGCCATTCACATGTTAGAAATATTTAAATTGTTTTCTGATTTTATAATATGCCACAGTCAAGAATTTGTCTTGAGTGTCAAAAGAGACCTTGGACATTTCAACAGTGTAGGAGTTGTTGCAGACTATGAGAATCATTGAAGTGACTAAATGCATTTTCTTCATGGATGACACTTGAGCCTATAGTGACCTGGGTGAGAATCTAGTTAATTGAATAAAAAGCTCCCAGATGGATGAGGTATTTGAACATGTGTCTCTCCTTGATGACTTTCTTTGCGGTACTTGTGGAACCTCTCTGGATAATCATTGGGATATCATTGCGGCTGGTGATATGTGCTTCTATAGCCTCAACCCATTTCCTTTTCTATGTTTCTGCTATGTTGTGGTTAAAATGAATGAGCCAGCTTCCTTCTTGTGCAGCCATGACTTCACCACCAGTATAGATAGTATCATAAAATCACAGAAAATACAATTGATGGAATTGGTATTCAATGCTAAGTCACTTTGCCAGCCTGAGGTTTTTAAAATTTTGTTGTTCCTATTTTTGTTTTTGAAGAAAAGCTTTGACTGAGTATCCCTGAGTCTCCTAAAAGTAGCCCTGTAAACCAAGTGGCCTCCAACTCAGAGATTCACCTGACTCTTGCTCCCACATGCTGAGATTAAAGGTTGTTCAACTTTCCAGGATTTTTTTAATATATAGTATTAGGTGATGGTTCGAGAGTATATGTTTTTGTACATGTCAAGCATATGTTGTTTTGCTGAGCTTTATCCCCCAGTTTCAATTTTGAAATTCAGCAGAAGATACTATTCTCTTCCTAGATGTAGTGTCTGGGCCTTCTGAGTCATTAGATTACAATTGTGTGACATTCTTCTTGCCTTTTGAGTTTGTTTTGATGGTTTTTTAATGAATATGATTATTTTGTCTATGTACATGGGAAATTTTTTTTTGAGACCAGGTTTCTCTGTATAGCTTTGTGCCTTTCCTAGATTTCGCTCTGTAGACCAGGCTGGCCTCAAACTCACATAGATCCACCTGCCTCTGCCTCCCACGTGCTGGGATTAAAGGTGTGCACCACCACCACCTGGCTGTCTGTGTACATGGATATGCACCACATGTACACCTATCCTCACAGCAGTCCAAAGAGAGTCTTAGAAACTATAAGATTGGAATAATGAACAGTTGTGTGATTTCCCCATGTAAGTTCTGACAATTGAGCCCATCTGTATGCAAGACCAGTAAGAATTCTTTTACTTCTGAGCCATCTCTCATTCCCTGTGTTGATTATTTATGATCATCATTGATATTGCTAACGTTATCTTCTTTCTATTTGTAACTCTTTAAATGCACAGTTCCTTTTAGTAAGATTTACTAATGTACAGTTTAAACTGGAACAATTCTGGTTTCTGGAAAATGAATAGAGAACTGGAGTGAATGCCAAACTCTTTGTAGGATCTTCAGAAAAAAAAAAATCTCTGAGTTCATCTTATCTTTTTTGTTTGTTTGAATGGAAGATTCAGTGCAGATGCAGTTAGCATAGACTGGGCTAACTTTCACCTCAGAAGCACATACACCTGCTTCTACCTTCTAAGTTCTCGGATTAAAGGCATGAGCCGATATACCTAGCTTACAAATCTTCTTTGTAGTTAATAATTGTTCACAAAATTTCTCTGATGGGTGCCCAGCACTGTTGAAGTGTTTGCTTGTCTCTCTATCTCTGTTAATAGGCATTTCTCTTGCAAGGTGATATCCTGTTCAGAGCATTCAGAAATAATAGAGGTAAACCTCCTATTCAGTTTGTTTGTGAAGTAACTTGATGAATTCATTGCAATTGTCTGAGTTATGGAATACGTGTAGCACTCACCAGAATTATATGACTGTATTGTCAAAGAAGCACACATTTACAATATTGTATCATGCTTTTTGTTTTATACCTATGGATGGCATATTTATGTATGGCATATTTTAGAACACAGTGAACTATAATGATGTGCATGTCGTCATCACTCAGAAAGAGTGGGCATTGATGGATCCTTCAGAGAGGAATCTCTACAAAGATGTAATGGTGGAGACCTAAATGAACTTCACAGCTCTAGGTAATACTATAAATTTTCCTTCACAGTGTATGATTTGTTTTATACACTTAAATAAGATTATTTCCCTCTAATTACTTTCTGAGTCACAAAAACTTTAGAAGAAAAGTTTATTCCCAGATTTTGCATGTTTTTGTGTGTGACAGAGGATGACTTTTGTGTATCCAGGTGATATACAAAGAAAGAGGGCATCAGATCACCTAGATTTGGAGTAGCAGCTGGTTATAAGCCTCCCAACTCTGTCGTGAAAAATCAAAATAGAAATAAAAGGGAAAAAAAGTAATATTTTTTAATGTTAATATTTTAAATTTATTTTTTTATTATCAGATTGATACAGTAAATATTCATATCCAAATAGTGAAATGTTTCACTGAGGCTTGGCCAGAAATGGGGAAAACCAAAACTTATAAGCCACAGTCATCCTAGGGTTCCCCCTGCTAGGTAGCCTCCCTGGTTCTGTGGGTTGTATTATAATTGTTCTTGGCTTTATATCTAGAATCCACTTATGAGTGAGTACATATCATGTTTGTCCTTCTGGGTTTGGCTTATTTCACTCAGGATGATATTCTCTAGTTCCATTCATTTGCCTGCAACTTCATGCTGTCATTGTTTTTCTCTACTGAGTAGTACTCCATTGTGTATATGTACCACATTTTCTTAATCCATTCTTCAGTTGAGTGGCATCTAGGTTGTTTCCAGGTTCTGGCTATTACAAGTAGTGCTGCTATGAACATAGTTGAGCATGTATTTTTGTGATATGATTGAGCATTCCTTGGGTATATGCCTAAGTGGTATGGCTGTGTCTTGAGGTAGATTGATTCCCAATTTTCTATGAAACCACCACACTGATTTCCACAGTGGTTGTACAAGTTTGCATTCCCACCAACAGTGGAGGAGTGTTCCCTTTGCTCCACATTCTCTCCAACATAGACCGTCTTCAGTGTTTTTGATCCTAGCCATTCTGACAGGTGTAAGGTGGTATCTCAGAGTCGTTTTGACTTGCATTTCTCTGTTGATTAAGGATGTTGAGCATTTCTTTAAATGTCTTTCAGCCATTTGTGATTCTTCTTTTGAGAATTTTCTGTTTAGTTCTTTAGCTCATTTTTTTAGTTGGATTGTTCAGTATTTTGATGTCTAGTTTCTTGAGATCTTTATAAACCTTGGAGATCAGTACTCTGTCTGATGTGGGGTTGGTGAAGGTCTTTTCCCATTCTGCAGGCTGTCTTTTTGTCTTATTGATGATGTCTTTTGCCCTACAAAAGCTTCTCAGTTTCCAGAGGTCCCATTTATTTATTGTTGTGCTCAGTGTCTATGCTGATGGTGGTTTTTTTTTTTTTTTTTTTTTTTTTTTTTTAGGAAGTGATCTCCTGTGCCAATGCATTCAAGTGTAGATAAGTTAAGTAATATCTTTTAATTAACAATTTATGGGAAAACACTTTAAATTAAAAGGGGCTAGATAGATGGCTCAGCAATAAATGCACTGACTTTTGTGACAGAGGACCCAGGCTCCACTTATAGAACGCACAAGGTAGAAAATCATTTGTTGTAACTCCAGTTCCAGGCACCTTCTATCTTCTTCTGGCCTCTGTAGGCCAGAACAGTGTGAACAGACAAAACATCATATAAATATTTCTTTAAAGTTATAAAAAGTAAAGAATGGGATTCTTTACAGTGAAGTCACAGCCCTCAGGCAGACAGTAGCCAGGGATAGTTAAAATGAACTCCTTATTGTCTTGCATGGAAGCAGCTGTGGACTCCTGCCAAGCCAGCCTGCTCAGAGGCAAAAGCAGCTTCATTCTGAGGTTCATAAAGCTCATTATAACCATTCATCTAACAACAGAGTAAATAATGCTGTTAAGTGACTTTTTAATAATGATTTCTGTTCTCTGTCTTTGTGAAAATTATGATATTGGTATACTTATCCTTTAGACTGAACATTAAGATTGACAGGTCTCATATGGCCAAGAGCAATCTTCATTCACTGTATCATTTACTTGAATTTCAGCTAAGACTTTGGGGTACAAGATGAATATCGCAGAGGCAGTTGTTTCGATCATTTTATAACTTACATATGGCTCTGCATGATTTTTATGTAAGAATTCCCCTAACTGTCTCTACTTTTGCATTGTGATTGTGTTCAAAGATGGACTTGTTAAACTGTCCTGCTTAAGAATAAGAGAACTCTACACAACCATGTCCAGATTCCCTATGTAAAATCTACATTCCTCCTTTGTTCACATAAAGCATTGTAGAAGTATTCCATACTCTACTATCCTCCTGCAGGTAAGAAATTTTTCTCAATTCTTCGATCTTGGATATTGTGATGGCTATTCTTAGTAGTAAAACAGACTAACTCTGCAATTAACTGAAACCAGAAGAGTTGGGTGCACCTGTGAGGGATTTTTGAAAGGTCTTGAAATTAAAGACCCATCTTTAATCTAGATCATTTGAGGTGATATCCATCTTCAGCTGCTTGGTGTCTGTGCACACATTTAAGCACAGCACTGAGGAGGCAGAATCTTCTCAGGATTTCTGAGGTCGAGGTCAGTATGGTCTACAGAATTCCAAGGCTACACAGATAAATCCATTCTCAGAAACACCAAAAGAAAATCAAGCAAAGTATAAACTCCACCTTTAATCTTGATCATACCTTCTGGTGGTAGCCTACATACATAAAGAACACAGAAGGAGTAAGCTCCTGCTTGCCCTAGCTCTGGCTACCAAGTTCATTCTTTCTCTTCCTTCCTTCCTCTCTTCCTTCCTTCCTTACTTTCTTCCTTCATTCCTTTCTTTCTTTCTTCTTCTTCTTCTTCTTTTTTTTTTTTTTTTTGGTTTTTTGAGACAGGGTTTCTCTGTGTAGCTTTGAGCCTTTCCTAGAACTTTCTCTGTAGCCCAAGCTGGCCTTGAACTCACAGATCCACCTGCCTCTGCCTCCCAAGTGCTGGGATTAAAGGCGTGAGACACCACTGCCCAGCTCCAAGTTCATTCTTTTACCAGCATTAGAGCCTAATTCCTTAGAACTGTGGTGTATACTGAAGAACAGCTGAGATATACAGCCTCATGAACTGAACAACTACTGAATTATTCGAAGTTCCATTGGTAGCAGCCATTGATGGACTATCTAAACCACAGTTTGTGAGACATTCTAATAAATCCATTTTCTTGCTACATAGAGAGATTCATTCTACCAGTCCTTTTCAGGTAGAGAACCTTGAATAATGCAGTTGTTTTTCCTTCATATGCCCACAGAGGAAGATGTGTTGACTAACAATAGTGTTCATAAACACATTTTTATAGCTCAGTTGTTATCTTAATATTAAACTATCCATGAAGGCTACCCTGTATTATTATTCATTTGCTAACAGTTTGCTCTAAATTTCTGTAATAAAATTCCTAAAGCAATGGTCTTATTTTCTTGGTTTTGATGAAGTTCCTGCTTTTCTGTGCTGGTTGTCTGAAGTCCCTAAGACAACCAGGTAAAAAGTACCTTGAAGTTCACCTGATGTCAGTATTAAGTCACACAATAAACACTCTCCTCATGTGTCTTTAAATCTCTCTTTCGTTGTTAATATTCCAGAATCCCTTTTACCTGTGTGACAAGGAATCACTCCACCCCTTATAGTTTAGTGGTCTGTACAAGGTAGCTAGCCACATTGTGTCTTTGGGGGGCAAGGGGAAGTGCCTATGGAGTAGAGGGAGAAAGCATAGTCAGCTATTGGAGCCATGAGCAAGTGCTATCAATATGCACATCTCTGCTGTTTAGAAAAAGTCTTTGTCTAGGGTGGATGGCAGGGTCAGGAACCATTGTGCTGTGTCTTTAAGCACACTCTAACCCTGTGGGAGGTACACTTGTCACTCAGGTCTCACTAGCCAATCAGGCACTCCACGTGACCTGCCAGTCAGAAGCTGTGCAGGGTCCTTCCGGCCACTGGCTTCAGACTTGGCTTTGAAGAAGAGCTGGTTCCAGCAGTTTTGTGTGGTGTGCTGTGAGTCCTGCTGCAGTGAGCTGAGCCGAGATCATGGACAAGCTGGGAAACCATGACTTGGTGAGTGAAGGGCTGCTGTCCCCTGATGAGGTGGAGCAGATAATGAGGTGTGGAGTCCAGTGTGGTGAGACTTCCTTTGATCTGGGTGGGAACCTGCCTACACAATCCCAGTGCTGTGGAGTCCCACGTGGTACTTGAAACTCCCTGGACCGAGGGGCAGGCCTCTGAATAACTTTGTTCTGTGGGCTGAATCAGCTCACAGAATTTGGTACAGGGAGCTGTGTGTAGAAATATTTTTGTGCCGAGTGAGGGTGGCCCTCACCTTTAATCCCAGCACAGGGGAGGGAGAGTTAGGCTGATTGCTTTGAGTTCAAGGCCAGCCTGGTCTAAGAGTGAGATCCAGGACAGGCATTTAAAATGACACAGAGAAGCCCTGTCTCAAAACACAAAAACAACCAAACAAAAGAAACGTTTTTGTAGTAAACTTAGACATGCTTTTGGTACACCCATGGAAAGCAGGTTGTCAAAAATGGAGAGTACCTTCCAGTACCTTTTAGAGGTTCAGCACTTTGCATTTCACTTTCATGTGTAAGATCCTTTAATAGTTAATTTTGTGGAAGTTGTAAAAGGCATCTTATGTGTTAGGTAACACTCCACTATTAATGTGTGATGTAGAAGAGTATAATTGGTGATATAAAGGATTCACTAATCTTTTTGGAGATAGTAAGTCTCACAAAATAGAATTTAGCTGAGGGAGGACTACCACAAAAAAAAAAACCTCAAAGGTAATTGCATTGTAGTCAGGCCTGTTAGAGATTAGGACTGTAGGATACACATTTGTTTGGCCCCAAACCATCACAAATGAGCCACTGATTATTTAAAACAAGCCACTGAATCAAAGAATGGGACTCTAACAAGCTCCTTATTGAGGCATTACAGGGTAAAAACCAACTTTATATCCTGGTATGACATAAAGTTTCAGTTTTCTTCTTGGTAAAAGCATAGTTCTGCCAGATGGACAATATGACAAATATGTCAACTTATTTGAAAAGTAAAACACTAGCCGGGTGGTGGTGGTGCACACCTATTTTCCCTGCACTCACTCAGGAGATAGAGGCAGGTTGAACTCTGTGAGTTTGAGGCCAGCCTGTTCTGCATAGCGAGTTCCAGGAGAGGCTCCAAAGCTACACAGTAAAAATCTGTCTTGAAAATCCAAAAAAAAAAAAAAGAAAAAAGAAAAGAAAAAAAAGGAAGTAAGAATAAAAGAAAAGTAAAACACTAATGTGTTAAGGAATTGCCTGATCAAGCAAGGCTTTCATTTAGGCGCTCAGGCATAGATTAGGAAAATTCTTGTGCAAGCTAGTAAAAACCTTGGACCTAGGGCTAGGAAGCTTTCCCTAAGGGCCTGGTGTACTGATAAGAAAACAGAGCTCTTTAGTGAAAAGCAGGCATATGCTTTGGAGAAGTAGCAATGGTCTGGAACCAGGGTGTTTGTGGTGGGGTTACTTCAGATCCTGAGAAACCAACTCTTTACATCACATGAGGCTATAGTTATCAGTCCACAGAACACTGTGGGCTCAGTCAGTAAAGTTCCTGAGATGCCCTGTTTCCCCTTGTGCAGCATTGTTTGATTAGCCTCCTCTTTGAGTCTGCCCCATTGTATGATACTTTCTGCTGACATCCTAGAAGTTCCCCACTTCCTTTCATTTCACCCCTGGAAGTAGTATGCAAGGTGCTGTTCTTCTTAAGAAGCTGAGGTGACATGAGACATAGCTTGTGTAAGACCTCCCCACCCCAGCTTTTATCTTTTCTACCTTATACTTTTCCTCTCCTCTCATCTTTTGTGACCTTCACCTCAGATCCCTGTCACTGAAGAAGATCCTGATGTTTCACATTAGTGGGGTACTTAAATAATTTTGGAGCCGGGCAGATGTTGTGCAGGCCTTTAATCCCAGCACTCGGGAGGCAGATGCAGGCAAATATGGGTGAGTTTGAGGCCAGCCTGGGCTACAGAGTGAGTTCCAGGACAGACTCCAAAGCTACACAGAGAAACCCTGTCTCAAAAAAAAAAAAAAAAAGAGAATTTTGGAAATGTATTTGCTGTGTAAGTCTTTCCTCTGTCTAAGTGAGTAGACTTGCACTCTTCTGTTCCTATTTAAATTGCTGAAAGTGTAACCTAAATCCTGAACCTAAATGTCATAAGGATGATTAGCATATGTGCAATGCAAAGTCTCTTCTAAGCTGGCTCCTCTTTTAGCATTAGCAGGAGATGGATGTATGTTAACATTAAAGAGATTTTTCTTCATTAATCTCTGAAGTGTGTTGAGTGACTTCTCCCTTGGAATGCATTTTAATTCTAGAAGAGCTGTATTTCAATCCTGTTAGAAAAATGTTTCTGAAACAAGCTCTCTTATGTTGACACAAGTGGCCTTGGTCCCAGTCTGTTGCACTCTATGGCAATGACTTTGCTGTTCTCTATATTACACATTAAAAATCTTATATTAAATGATATTATCACCTCATGGTTTCAAAACTATCCATTTGAGTGATGCAGTTGCATATTCATTGCAGTAAAAGGAAAGAGATTTGCATGTGGAGCATGGTTTCTACCTTTAGACCAGAATAGAAGGAATAGTTTATTGTGTACACTGCTGGGGTAAACAGGGTAGGCAATCAGCTACTAGAGTCACCATTATGAAAACAAACCCGATTGTAGCAGGAGGAGTAATTTTATAATTTCCCAGCATGTACTGATTGATGACTTGTGAATGAAGACAGACCAGACTGGTTGGTGTTCAATTTAGGAAGGTCAACTTGCACCAAATGATATTGACTTTTCAATTAGGTAACTCTCCTATGCAGATAGTTCAGTCACTCTGTTCTCTAATGTGTCTATGTCATTAATTGTTTCATTCCTTTTCTATCAAGAACTGTTGATTATTGATTTTCTGTGGCGAGCAGTGTTTCTTGCTTGACACAGTTATGACAGCTCAGAAGTTTGAGAAATAGGCCATTGACTGTAACTGTGTGTCAGGTTACAGTTCACAGCAGCCAACAAGTGCATATGATAAGATCAACCTATATTTTATTAATGATATTCCCTCTACTAGAGAAAATTTTAAAAACTTTTTTAAAGTCAATATAGCTAAGGTTCATTTTTTTGTTTTCTTTTTATTTTTTTTGAGACATGGTTTCTTTGTGTAGCTTTAGAGCCCTTTCTGGAATTCACTCTGTAGCCCAGGCTGGACTCAAACATACAGAGATCTGCCTGCCTCTATCTCCAGAGTGCTGGGATTA